AGCGTAAACGATGCAACCCGATGGAGAACTTTCAAAATTTAAGACGCATTTAGTTTGGCCTATGAACGTCTCATCGGGAGGGAAGGCAGAATTCTGCAGGTTCTGAAACGTTTTGGAGGGAAACGGAGTACTTGGACGCAGATGTGCAGAGAAACGTTTCACTTTAGAATTCAGATTCTCGAATAGCACTTCCAAGCAGATTTCGAATAAGCACTTTTAAAAATTACCGCGGAGAAACTTGGGCGGTGAGATGGCAAATCCCGCGTAACTTTCCGCGTAAGATCGATCTGCATTCCGCCGCCTATTGCCCATATCGTCCCATTGCAAGCCCGCACTACAACCACGGGTCGAGTACCTGTGTGTCCTCAACTGACTGAGTCCGCACATTTGACGACTCCGTTCGCCACGCCACGTGCCAGCGTGAGGAACACCCAGTGGAGGTGCGTGCCTGAGCCGCCCGCCCGTCCTTCGAATGAAGGACCGCCATCCGGCCCGGTCTGCGGAGCCCGGCCAGCCAGGTGAATAATTCGGTATTTACCGAAGTCGCCACCTATCTCCCGTAGTTATGACGCGGGGGCTCCCTGCAGGACATTTTGGCGAGAGATAAGAGTGCCGCGCTCAGCTTTGTATCTGTAGTTAAATAGTGCATGAATTGGTGTAGAAATAATTACTAATGTTAGTGTTAAAGAATTTGTTCATTAACTTGTTAAGGTTATGAAGCTGCGGTAACGTAAGGTTAAGCAAATAATCTGTGTCCGCTCTCTAGTGACCCTTAACTCCCTGAGCTCATGTGCCAGGATAATTCAATCTTTTGTTCAGAAACATTCAATTGGACTGATCTATGACCTCCCTTCACTTCCATCCATTCGTTACAGGAACTGAACCTGGCGCCCGACATATCCCGACGGAGCGATCGGCATTACATTATAATAATATAAGTTCTTATAATATAAATAGTAAGAATGGGGTGCAATTCAACCTCATCACACGGTAGAAAGCTATTACAACTAATAACTAACAACAATTTAAATATTCAAGCACCCAGTGAACCAGCTCACTACCCTTACAACAATAGAATCATTTTAGATATCTTAGTTATAATCTCCCAAGGAATCAATTTCCCAATTTATTAAAACAGTTGTTTCGGATCTAGATTCGAATCATAACCCAGTTATTTGCTCATTCCAAGGCAAAATTTCAATAACAAACAACATAAGTATAATAAAATTCGCGATCTAATGTCTCAAAACCTAGAATTTCCTAATTCAATTAAAAATGATACCCAACTTGAATCATAGTTAAGCTAAATAAACAATGCAATTCATAAAAACTTAGATGAAAGTATTGTATCATCCCCTTCAGCACACAGACCTTATGGGAATTTACCTAAACCAGTATTGAATCTGATATATGGAAAACGAAAACTGAAAAGGGAATGGCAAATAAATAGAAACACTAATTACAAAAGAAAAATAAACAAACTAGCGAGTATAAATAAAATCGAATTAGATAATTTAAGATATTCTAACTTCCAAACTCATCTATCCCAAACACTGCCAAATTCAGAACGGCTGTGGATAACAATAACAAATATTACTGGGGAAAAACAAATATTCCTCCTCTAAACACTCAAACAGGAAATTATGTACATAGGGACCAAGAAAAGGCATTATTACATTGCCTAAAATTTTGAAAATACTTTCACTCCCAACACAATGACCGACGTGAAGCATAACAAAGTAATTGAAGAGTATATGACAGATACATATTACAGAGTTCCCACTCCAATTAAATTTATTAGCCTTTACGAAATTACAATTATAAATAACCTCAAAATTAGGAAGGTCCCATGCCACGACCGAATAACAAATAGTCTTGAAAGAACTACCAAAAAGCTCGATTGTAGTCCTGGAAGCAGTAGAATTGCGATAATTCAGCACTTAGAATTGAGTATAATTAAAAATCATGGAAACAGGCCATTGCCTTTTCAATCAGTAAACCAGGCAAAAATCCTAAAGATGTAACGAGCCAATAAGCTTATTATCCTCTTTATCAAAAATATTTAAGAAACTAATACAGACAAGACTTCATAGTATTCACCAAATAGAAATAGAAGAAAATAGAAATAAGAGCATTACCAGATGAACAGTTCGGGTTTAGGCAAAATTATTGTACAGCTTATCCGCCTCGTAGAAAAAATTGCATATGGTTTCCATAACAGCATACAATTGGACTGTTTTTAGACGTAGAAAAAGTTTTCGATAAAGTTTGGCATACTGGACTACTATTCAAACTCAAACAGCTGGGAGTACCATTCTATTTGCATGACATTATTAATAGTATTATTACAGACCCAACGTTCAGAGTTAAAATAAACTGTGCACTCTCACAAACTAGAAAAATAAGAGCAGGGGTACCTCAAGGTTCTGCACTATCGCTCCTCCTCTTCAATGTTTATTTTTCAGACATTCCCACTTTAGGAGACTCAAATCTTGCGAATACGCAGACGATACTGCAATATACACAACGCATGCAGATATAAATGTAGCCAAAGATAACATCAAGGCGGATATCTAATGCTTTCTAAACTGGGCTCAATGGTGGAGAATAAAAATAAACCCAACCAAAAACCAGGCTAAAAGTTTTACTCTTTGTAAACCAAAGTTACCTCGCCCACTACTATTAAATAATACTCTTACCCCGTGGCTAGCATCTGATACACCAGTGAAATATCTTGGGGTCCACATTGATAGCAGGTTAACCTGTAAAAAGCACATAGAACTAACAACCAATGCAACATATACCAAAATATCGAAACTATATCCATTAATTAACTTCCACTCAACCTTAAATTTGGAATGCGCAATTTTAATATTTCAATATATTATTAGGCATTCACTCACTTATGTCTGTCCGGTCTGGAATAACACAGCCAAAACCAACATTGAAAAACTTCAGATAATACAAAACAAATTTTTAAGAAAATATGCAAAGGCTTCTTGGTTCATTTCTAATACACACATTCAAAGAGAACTTCAAATAGAGCCTCTAAACGAGTATATAAGAAATAACTATGACATTTTTTTACCTTCTTCCATCTCCTTGCAGTATAAAATTTACAATGGGGAAGACATTGAACAATCCCAAGAGAATGATATGTTAAAACCCCCATGAAAATAAATATCTACTCTAAGAATATGTGTTAAAAATACAAATGTTTCACTTCAATATTAAGATAATTTTTGAAACAATGTTTAGAGAGTATTTAGAATTAAGAATTAATATTGTGCAGTACAAGTTGAGTATTGTGCGTAAATTGTTGAGATATGTTTAAAATATAAGTATGAAATCCTGTAAATTAGCTAGTAGTAAGATACAAGAGTGATAGGTTGTATGCCCAAATGCTGTATATTAAAAATAAAAATGTACAAACTCCTGAAAGGCAAAATTGCCGAATATGAAAATAAATTTTAAAAAATTAAAAAAACGTTTGTCGTGAACTTTTTTTGGTATCCCACAAAACACGGATTCGGGCTACACCACGTGTTAGAGGATTTGTTTCTAAATTTAACTACTGGATTTATTCACTTTTTCGATAACAGAGCCCTGTAATGAGAGATTTTCTGCCGAAAATTTGCCGTTTTTTTCGCGCAGGATTTCATAAATTTCTCTTCTTAAGAAGTTCCTTAAGAGCGAGAAAGTAAAAAGTACGTCAAACTTATTTAATATCTAGACGTGTGCAAAAAGGCGTCTATCGAATTACTGATTTAAATCTAGCAGGTGCTACAGAGAATGTCCAAAATCGAATCTTACGTTAAAAAAATTTTGCCACAGTGAATCAACAGTCACGTGATCGAATACTTCCTGTAAGAGGTTATTAAGACATTGGCAATGTTTCGTTATAAACAATTCAAGGAACACATGCATTTCATTTAAATCTGCCGCAATCAGCCGGGCAGACGGCGGCGGCGCGGCTGTCTGGCGCGCTGCAGACCATTGCGTGACGTCACCGGTTCACGCCGGCGGGCGTGAATGGCACTTCACAATTACTCACTCAAAAGTTTGAAGAGCAATTTAATTAACTTTTGCGTATTTAACCAGCAATTAAATCGGCCCACAAGATGGCATATTTGGTTCTGTGGTAATCCATTGTGGTAGTACCAACTTAATCGTAAGCTAGTTCACCATTAATTGCGCAAAAATTGAAGAGCAAAAAATGTTTGCGTAATTAATTAGCCAATAAATATTTCTAATGGTGCCATATTTTGTTTTGTGGTAGTGCCAGCATAAAAGAGGTCCCTTTTGCCCAGGTCCACTAATACAACTATATTTTAGAGAAAAGGAAAGAACATCTCACTGCGAAAAAGTGTTCCTTAATAAAACAACAACAAAAAACACTTTTAAACCATTATTGGCAGAGGAAAACCTCCAACGAAAAATGATCACAACGTTATAAAAGAAAATCGAAAGTCGTGTTTTATCCATATGCTTCTAAAGCTTCTATACGTGAGTTATTTTTTTATAAAATGGCGCGTCAGAGATGACTTCACAATGGAATATCTCATGAATAAAGGTGTAATGTATGGAACAAATGGTATGGAATATCTCACGGGATTTCGCGTCTTTCTTGGTCGTGCCGCGTGGGTTTTCATATCATGGCGCATGAGGACCTGTCTTCGCGATAGAATATCTTATGGCATTTTGTCTTTCTGAGTCGTGCCGCTTCATGTGATGATCGCGACCGTATCGTTCAGTGCTGGTGATCATGCGACTTCTATAGACCATAGAGTAGAGATATACTCTCTGTTGTATCTCTCCTCTATGCTATAGACACGGCCTACAAAGACACGAAATGATGTGAGACCGTGAAGACAGACCTTCTCCCGCTAAGAAATAAAAACCCAAGTACGATTTATTTAGTTGTGCACTTGACGTTAATCAGGTGTTGCGGTTTCATCCAATCGGTAGCTTAAATTATAGTGACGTCACGATGGGGACGTTCAAGCTCGATTGAATGAAAGCGTCGACAGCTGATTTACTTCAAGTAAATAAATCCTGTTATAGACTCAGAGAACTACCCGGCGGTTCGTGATCTGCAAGGTAAGACACTCTTTCGCAGTAATTTGAATTAATTTCAATCTAAAACCTTAAGCATTGTGTGACGTGAAGGGGAGAAATGTATATTTTGCGCACGTTGTCTTGAGCTCTAGACTCCCATCACCTGTCTTCTATGTGTACTTAATCTAACTTCTGTAACCTATAGTTGAATGGTGAATGAAAGTATTAACAAAATGAAGTTAGCAATATTTGCAAACTTGAGATCTTCACCTCTCCGGATAAAGAAAGTTTAACTAATGTCCATTGAACGAACCTTAAATACTTATTGAAGAAAGTGTTGCCTTCGATAAACAAACTCCAGATTTGATTTTATAGTATTGATAAGAAAATTGCAACCCATATGTGACTTTACTCTTACCACAACTAGCAAAAGGAAAGCTCAATGAAATGTGCATTTAGTGAAGCTACATTTATATGCAGAAGTCATATAAGGGATCATCTCAGCATTTACTCAATGCACCAAAGAAACTGGGTGAAAACCCTGAAGATTAAGTTTACATTACTTATTACAAGCATATTTAGTCTTTTTAAAATTATACAGTACAAACTATAACTAATTTATTGATGTCATTGTTAAATTTAGTATTACTTTTGTATTTAATGTTCAGTATAGTCTCTAATTGTGTTGCAACTAACCTAGCAGAAACAATTGTACTTGCCACTAAACTTGTGTATCAATTTTAATTGTTTAAAGTCCTCTGGCAATGAGTTGAAAGTAATATGCATGTGTTATATGTGAATTTGTTCTAGTGGACTGTTGATTCTGACACTTGTTGCTTGATTCTGACACATGAACTTGTTGTAATTATCAATATCTGAAGTGTATTAATATATAATGTCACTCTTAAGTAAGTCAGTTTTGAAAAAAACTACAGATTTATGAATAAATAGAAAAGGCATTGATAAGACTCCAAGAATCATATGGGTGGAATTTGATTATTATGCGTACTATTCTTTTCTGTGATCAAAGAGTGAGTACTATAAAATCTGATTCCCTAGAATATTATTATTCCTTATCTCATGCAGGAATATATTTTTGCAAAATATATGCTCTGAGCTGGCTGAGTGACTGAATTTGAAAAAAATTCTGAATGCATAACTTGGTGAACTTAATTTGGTATTCAATTAATTTACATTCCATTTGAGATTTGGCTGAATTGACAGACCGAGAAATGGTTCATTTTTTTAATTTGTCTGTTTTCAATTGTGTATGCAGTTGTCTATTTGAAATGTAAATCTGCATTGAAACAGTTTTTTCTTTGTTTTCTAATAATTCATTATTATGAAACCAATTTGAAATATTTGTCATTTTAGTTCTATTTATTATTTTTTCTTTGCAAAGAATGATAATGTCATCTTGAAACAACTGTTCTTTTGTTTCTAATGGACAAGGACAAATAATATTCATATAAAAGAAAATGAATTGAGCCTAGGATAGATCTGTGTAGTTCCCCATGCTTAATTAGCAAAGAATTGGAAAGGAGAAAGTAATGTTAGTAGACTATTTCTACACTTTGTGATTGATATTTGAAGTACAGGTATATCCAGCCTATGGCAATACCACAAATTCCATATGAAGGTAATTTTGATTATGTTGTTGTCATTGACATGCTATGTTTTCTCTGTTGTAAATAGAAAAGTCAATCTATGATTTTTAGGACACAAGAAGAATTGGCTAATCATTTTGAATTCATTTAAACATTTTTTCATTTAAAAAATATATAGAAATATTCTTTTGCATAAAAATGCATTGAAAATGTGATTTAACACATAAGACAGGCGCACAAATTTTTAATTTATAGACCGGTAAAGTCTTCAAAGCCAACCGAATTTACTGACTAATCTAAAGTTTTCATTGGAGGAAGTTTGGGAAACAAACATGTCAAACATTTTTTGGGAAACATATGATAATGAATTTTAGAGTTGAAGTCAACCGCGATTCGTAAAAAGGCAGTTGCTGCTATTTATAAATTACAAACTTGAAACGGTCGATTATGTAGACTATATATCATTATGATTTTCATTGGACTATTATGAAATTTCTAAATAACAATATTCAGATGACCAACATAATATATTATTGTCTCTTAATGCCAATCTGCAACATTGTTTTTGCATATTACCACTGTTTGCTACGATGATTGTGTTACCTTCCGATCCTTTAACAACTGAATTTGACCAGAATGATTTCTAAACATTTTCTGTTGTGACTTGTGAATTTTTGAGTTAATCTTTTGCGTTTTGAAAAAGACATTGCAAAAAATGTACTTGGGAAGCAGGTTATTGTTTTCATAATATTTAAAAGAACATCTTAATATATTACAGTTGTTCTTTCCAGTTAAATATTTCCATTTTGTGATTTTTTTAAAAATTGCAAATAGTAAAATAATATGATAGGTTTTAAGGATTATAATGGTTGCCTTATGATTCAATCTTGATAATGTGCAAATTATTGAAGCTATCTTGCTGTGATATATTTTTTTGTGGTTACCTTCTCTTCAAGTTTTTTTGTATATGTGTGATGTAATGTGCATTTTGAATTGTTTCAGGTTGTTTTGAACATGGATGAGACAGTCGTATCTGTTAGTTGGAAAGGCTACACTAGTGAACTTGCAACAGTATATAAAAATTTATTGGATGACAATTTTTTGGTGGATTGCACTATATTTGCAGAGGGTCAGGCTCTTAAAGCTCATAGGCTGGTTCTATCTGCATGCAGTTCATACTTTCATGTACGTGTAATGTTGTCATAAAAGTTTGGCTTTTTGGTGATGTGGTTCCCTTGCCCTTATTTTATTGTTACTTTGTATAATATACTTCTAGTATCATCTCTACTTACTCATTACAATTAAGCAGTCAACTTACAACTCTTTTTATACCCTATTTTTAACATTTTTAATAATAATGTATAAATCAGTTAAAAAACTTATATTTGCTCTGTATTATCTGATATTAAAAAAATTGACAATGTGATAGTCAAATGTAAAATAATATAATCCCCTAAAAAGACAACATAATGTTGTATTTAAAATTGTCAAAATTATAGACAGAGAAACTAATTATTGAATGAGAAAGCTATCTGAAATGTTTCAAATACAGATCTTTAAAGATACCCTGAAGTTACATTGTCTTCTCCTTCTTCTTCCTCAAGCATTAGACCAGTTGGTCGGTTACGCCTCCTTGATCTAACCATCTTCTCTTGGGTCTACCAACGCTTCTTCTTCCTTTAGGGATGTACTGAAGCACTTGCTTTGAAATACGGCCGTCTTCCATTCTTTCCAGGTGTTTTTTCCATTGTTCTCTGTATTCCTTAATTTTTTCATTTAAGTTGTAAATTCCTATATTTATCCGGATAGTCTGGTTTTTTAATTTGTCCATTCTTGTTACTCCCAGGACTGATCTTAAAAATCTCATCTCGGCTGCTTGAAGTCTGTGTGTTCTTCATAGTCCAGTTTTCGCTTCCGTAAAGTCTGCAAGGCCTTGCCATAACTTTATAAAACTTTAGCATTGTGTTTTTATGGACCTTTCCTTTGAACGCTCTTTTGATGGTACCACACATCATATTGATCTTTCTATCTTCCTTACAATATCAACTTCGCCGAGATATGTCACATCCTAGAAATCTAAAAGGAATTATGCTGTTCAATAGTTTTGTTTTCTAATATGCAATTTACATCTTTAAGCCTTGTGAGCCTTGGAATGCCATGGATTTGGTTTATTTGCTAGATATACTTAGATTGTTTGCTTTGTTATTTTATATAGTTCATAGTAGTGCCGTTGCGATTATCTGCAACTAAAAAATCTGTTGTCCAGCAAACATAAAAGTTTTAAAAATGTTTTTCCTTTAAAATGTCTTCTATTTAAGTTTCTGATCTGTTGTTTCCATTCTCTCACAGAATGTCTAGATATAGATTAAAAATAATATAGGTGAAAATACAACCCGCTTTTGTCTACCCCTTTATTAATATTTCCTTGGGCAATAATTCCAGATTTTAGTTTTATGTTTATCTGTGTTCCTAGGTATATATTTCGTATACTAGATCAAGTGCAATGGTATTCTTCTTTTTTACCATAATTTTCCATAGTTTTCCTCTGTGTACACTATCGAATGCTTTACTGTAATCAATAAAGACTATGTAGGTTATTTAGGTTGTAGCTCTCTTCTTTTTTTCATATTATTTTGTTTAATATAAAGATATTATCGAGCAGGATCTTCCTTCCGGGACCTGTTTGTTCAAGTAATATACTGTCTACCATGTTTCTCAATCTATTTTACTATTATCTTCCATAATATTTTATATGCCGTATTCAAAAGACTTAACCTCTTAAATTTTCGCAGTCAGTTCATGATCCTCTTTTAAAATGGTATTACTACTGCTCTCTTCCATTCCATTGGTATTCTTTTTGTTGCCAACATTGATTTAGGAAATCTAGAAGCCAATACCTTGGCTTCCTCTGGTAGATATTTGAATAGTTCTAATATTTAATTGTCTGAGCCAGGAGCTTTTCGGTTTTACAACTTTGTAAGGCTTCTTGAAGTTCATTAAATTCTATTTTATCAATTTCTGATATACATCTGTTCTTTTCCTCCTCTTCATCATTTACATCTTCTCCTCTTCTTTTGTCCACAGATGTTTACAGAACTTCATCCATTCTCTCTATCTAGAAGATCTAAATTTGCTGTGACTTTATCTTCTCTGTTTAGGTGTTTCATAATGTTGTAAGCCAGTATACTGGTGACAATGTACATCTCTTTCTATGTTAGATATGCCATTCTAATTCAATATTCGTGCTGATGGGTTCCTTTAGACATATATAGTCTTATACGTGATTGAAATAAATTTCTGATGCTAGGGTCTTCTAATAGGTTAGCTTTCCATACTGTTTCCTTTATGGTGATCTTTTGCGTGTTCTTGCCCATTTCGTTTTAAGGATTACTTTCCTCTTACTAGGAAATGATCTGAATTTATATCCATTCCTCTCATCACTCTCACGTCCTGCAATAGTTTTCCATCTTTTCATTTGCCAATTCAATAGTCAATTATTGATCTGAATCCTCTTTCACCCAAGTAAATTTATGGATATCTTTATGTCTAAAGTATGTAAGCTATTTTAATGTGCATGTTACGATTCTTCATTTACCCAAATGTAAGAAGTTATCCTATTTCTCCATTTCTCATTTATTAGAATAGCTGTTCCTGCAACTGCTCTATTTTCAATAGGTACACCACTATAAATTAATGTATAGTTTCCCAGATCACAAGTTCCCCTCTGGTTCTTTTTAGTTTCAGATAACAAATCCAGTTTAGCACTTCTGACTTCTCTTAGCAATTCGTATTCTTTGTTAGCTATGCCTCATACATTCCAAGTTCCCATATTGACATGTTCTAATATACTGAGACGTTTGTCCTTGAACCAATCCTGAAACCTGAGTCCAATGTCGTTACCAAAGGATTTCCTTGTTTACAATCAACGAGTGAGCCAGTAATAAGAATCTCCCCTGGCTGCGCTACGAAAGCTGCACAGGGAAAGTTTGGTAGTGGGGCTGCCACCTCACTGCTCCCAAACTTGCAGGATTTGTGTAAGGTTTTCCCCCTAGACAGATTGCTTTCGCTTCAGCTCTGAGGTCTGTTACATTGTATGCCTCAAAATTAAGTAATAAATTTAATTCTGAATTATAATTTTCTATTTATCCTTTATTATTATGATATTTGAATTCATTGTTGTTCTTTGATAAGATGATTTCCATGGAATTTGTTTATTTATGTTTGAACTTAAGCTTTTGTCGAAATTTATGAATATATACTATATTGTAATATATTATAATTCACATTTGCATATGGTATTTGTATTTTTATATATTTTTTTAATTTGTTAAAAGTATTTTAAAGTAAATTGGGCCTTCAATTACTTCATTCAATTGCTTTTTTTATTTCTGTGTTAATTTTTCTTTGTAAACAAATATATTAATTTCTTTTGTAAATAATAAACAGTTTACATATTTCTGGAGTGTGTATATGTTTCAGATTTGCAAATTTCTACGTAGAAAGTAGTTTTTCAAAATTATTTTCTAGTACTTGATGAGGCTCCGGCATTCAAAATCTCAAAGGAGTTTATTAGACAAAATATGTCTAAATATGTTTAAAAGAGTTTATTTTTGAAGTTTCATTGTTTATTCCCTGGGCACTGTATAGTACACAACTGAAGGAAATCCAAACTAAGGATTAAAACATAAAATAAAAAAAATAATGTCTGTTCATCTGGTCATACTTCAATTTGCAGACGAGTTGGAGGTTTCAGACAGATGGTTGTTTTTGTGTGCCAAATCTGGATTGTTTTATTACTGGAGTTCAAAGATCAACAAGATTTCTTGTGTTTTAAATGCGATAGTGTTAATTTATCTAGATGCGAGTTAATCGGACCATCAATTCTGAAGGCTATGGGTTACATGATATATCCACCACTGTTATTGAAAGTTATTTGGGTGGTAATACAAAGAAAACGTATATTAAAATAGATAACATGTAGTTAATGTTAATATTGAGTACTAGAAGTTATATATCAGATTCTCTGCATAAACCATACCCAATTTCCTTGTTTAAACCAGCACTGACTTGAATTACACAGTTCAGGTCAGTGTTGATTTAAATGAGGAAATTGTGTGTGGTGAAACTAGGGAATCAGATACATCCTTAGAGCATAGTGGGAAGAGGGGAGGAAGTGGTATTGGGGGTGGAGGTGGGGGAAAGAAGATGGGAGCAGTCACAGATCTCTTACAGCAGCTTTGAAATTCTGGTTTACACACCAAATTCTTTCTATTAAATGTCTGATTTAGGTACTGAGTGACCATTATTCTAATTCAATTATCTCTGGTAAGCTCAGGACCAAAACTAGAGTTATTTTAATTCGCTAACTTTTACACTTAATTCCAAATGAATAACACCTGTATAGGAGCAATACAAATTTTCAACTCGAGCAGCTTGGCTTCACAGGAGGGCTTTCTTCAAAGTCTCAGCAAATAGATCCAGTAGCTCCATGATAGGAAGTATGTTAATGTCATAATTAAAATAAGCTGTTGTAATGTCTAGCTGTGTCAAGCAAATTGCACTTAGCTCGTAATGCCATAAAAAAGATTCAATTGTCAGTACAGGTGCTAAAGTGTTGTCAATGAAATCAATTCTTAGCCTCTGAGAAAATCCTTATGCAAGTTCTTTCTCCTCTTTTTTTGAATGCAGTGACCTGTCTGATCCAATGACCATATTATGCGAAACAGTTCTGGATCCGATTACTTTTGCTGCTAAGTGTTCAACATTTTGTGAAAATATAATTTTTGATTAATCATCTCAAAAGTATCATTGTTCTTTAGGGATATCGTGGAAGATGCATTATTTTGTTTTGAAAAGTGTCAAGTGGTTTCAGCATGTATTGAATCTTCAGATTTTTTACTGTCTATGCGATCGGCATTACATTATAAATAATATAAGTTCTATATAATATAAATAGTAAGAATGGGGGCAATTCAACCTTCATCAACGGTAGAAGCTATTACAACTAAATAAAACTAAACAACAATTTAAATATTTCAAAGCACCCAGTGAACCAGCTCACTACCCTTACAATAATAGAATCATTTTAGATATCTTAGTTATAATCTCCCAAGGAAATCAATTTCCCAATTTATTAAAACAGTTGTTCGGAATCAGATTCGAATCATAAACCCCACGTTCTTTGC